TGGTGTAGCTCAGTGGATTGAGCGCAGGCCTGTGAACCAAAGGCCCTCCCCTGAGACCTCCCCTATGATTCCAGCAGGCCAAGGAGAGATGAAAAGCCTCGAGACAAAGAATGACTGAGTGCTCTTGCTAGAACACCCACACCTTGTATCTCAGCTCACTTTCTCCTAAACCCTAAGGGACCCCAGAAGACTTGCAACCAGGGGAGCAGTGGGCAACAGCTTGTCCCAGGATTACCCACTGAACCTGTCTCCAAGGCTCTTTTTCTCTGACTTTCCAAAAGAAGTAACTTTTCACTTCTTTTACTGTGACTTCTATTTCTTAGAGAGCCAAAGCGGCCCACCTAGGCTGTCTGTTTCTTCTTCTTTCTTAAGCCCTTCCTTTGTTTCACTGTCCCCAGCTTTAATAAGCATACTCTCCCAATCACCCAGACTCATGTTATGGAATCTTTTCTACATGAAGTCAAGAACCCACATACCAGCTGGCCTGAGGCAGACCCACTCTGGGCCCAGTCTCAATCCCGTAACATCTCCAGCCCTTGCCTTGAAGCCACACAACTCAGTTTCTCCTTATAGGTCTCTGTCCTGCCCCCAATTTGCCCTGCCCCTGGAGGCCAGGGTGAGTGCCCACCCGCAAGTGAAAGTTTGTGCATGAGCTCTTTAAGGGAACACCTGAGTTTCCAGCAGCCTTGTGTTTCCTCTGGATGAACAATATCCCCACTGATTTTTGCAGCCAGATGTTATGTGCGCCCCTCTTCCTGGCACTGGTATTCTGGGCTGGGGAGCCTGGTATGGGGCTGAGACCCCTCATTCATCAGGGGAAACTTCTGCTGTTGATATATCCCTCTGAATTTTCAACTGCCACATGTGGGCATGGGTCCAGACTGTTTTATGTTTCCACCCCTCCTACTAGTTGTGACATGACTTCTTCTCTATATCCTTAATTATAGGACTTCCATTCCACTAGTCTTTAGATTGTTATACAGATTGATTATTCTATAATTTGGTTGTAACTGTGATGTGGTCATGGGAGGAGGTGAGTATAGTGTCCTACTCTGCTGTCTTGACCCGAACTCCACTAGCCCCAACTGAGTGACATATGATAAATATGATAAATAATGTCTGGTCTCATTCTCTCCAATTGCAGAAATAGCATGAAATCATCCATTCATTTGTTCATTCATTTATCCATAACATACTTATTAAGTATCTACTATGTGCCAAGACCTGAACTAAGTACCAGATGTATAATGATAACCGTGATACAAGCCTGTTCTATAAGGGTTTATGGTCAAGCTCAATGATTTCCCATCTTTCTGTTTTCTGATTAATGAAGTTCCTAGAGTTTGACAGTCCTGGAAGAATAATAAACAAGACAGGTTTCAGTTATGTCTGAATTCCAGTGTATAAGGTGTAATACACCCCATTTGAGAATTGCTTCTCTGGTTGGCTAGATCACAATACCTACCATTAATTGAATTTTTATGCTATGCCAGGCATTTTACAAACACTGTATTATTTAATCCTCATTGGAAATTAGGTACTATGCCCTCTTTACAGATAAGGAAACTGTAAGACACCAGAGTGCATGACATCTGTGATACCAGATGATTCTTCAGTGCTACAGTTCTGAGTAAGGCTTTTAGGCACTCACTGGCTCTGTGACTGTGGACCAATTATTTAACCTTTTGATCTTGGTCTCCTTTCTATATGCAAAATTAGCTTGTAGTGAAGGTTATGAAACTAGAAACATCAGGGTTAGTTCTGCCTGTCACTACCAGAACCAACAAGTAGAGAGAGACAAGGATTGAAACTTTATGGGTATTTTATTCAGATGCCAGCAATCTGAGAAGATAGCAGGTTACATGCCCTCAAAAACCATCTCAACATCTCATCTCAAGATGACCTTCTTATAAGGAGGAAAAAGGTTAGGTAAGGGGTTTGGGAAGAAAGATTAATAAGGATCAAGAGTTGAAATCAAGTGATTTCATCTGGTGATTTTCCTAGTATTTATTTTTCTGCTAATAAACAATTCTTTATCTATGTCACAGATGTTCCTTCCCTGGAACACAATGGTTCTGATACCATCTCATCAGCTTGCCTGCAGACCCTCCGGGGTACAAAGGTTGGATTGCTTGTCAACCTCCTCGCATCACGTCAGTCTTGTATTCCAGTTCCTGAAATAACAGCTTTCCACATACATTAATCACTGAAGCCTATCAACTATAACTATGGCTAAAATCTTTAACTCTTGAGTTCCTCTAGCAGTTGTATGACAGAAATATATGAGGTATCCAGCTCAGTCTTTCATTTCACTGGTCTCATCCAAGTGCGGATGTTTCATAAATAGCTGGGGATGCCCTGGAAAGTTAAGACTTGACTTGTAGATTGGTAATTGCTCAGATAGAGGAGGGGTCACTATATCAGGAAGAGGGCAGAATATTAAGCCTTAGGAAGAGAGGGGCCCGAGAGAACACTCAAAACTCACAAATCTGGAGGAGGAAGTCATAGTCTCTAGAAACCCAAGAGGCAGCAGACCTGGGGAAAAGATCCAAGGTTGCCCATTGTAGGAAAAGGATGAGAGAGAAAAGGGTGGATGGGGAAGGCCCTGAAGTCAAGAATTGACCCAACTGAAATGACACAGATCAAAGGTAGCACCCTGCTGACAGTAAGACATATCCATCCCAGAGGGAGGACAAGCAATAAGCTCTCCCACATAAAAGACCCAAATAAATAAGCCCAGCATGATGGTCAAAGCCAATACTCAGGACCCCAAGGTACAAGACATTTACAAAATTCAGAGTAACTGATGGAAATCTGCAGCATTCATAGTACTGACATTTGTTTTGTGCTTTATAGTTTGCCGAGTGTTTTCATACTTTCACAAGGTACATTTGTGAATGATCAGAAGGTCTGAGTTTGCAGCCAGAAGACCTGACAGCTGATAGCATTCCTTAGCAGCTATGGGACATAGCCCAACCCACGGAACTTCTCAGGACCCACTTTCTTCATTTGTAAAGTGGAAAACAAGTCCACCCATCCTACAGTGTTGTGAGGGTTAAGCCACAGTGCTTCACACACATATTAGCACCAGTAGTGGGTACAAGGTGGCTCTGCAACCCAGGCCTGAGAAGCCTTTCAACTAGCAGATCACCCTTCCATCCCCCACTGACCTTGACCTTGGTCATTTCAAAACATGTAGCACAGAGTAATGGCCCATCTCCCTGCACCCTCAGAGAATTTTAAAGTGTGGAATGACTCTGCTTCTCTCTTGCTGGGAGGGACAGCCAGGTTATCTTTCAACTTCTTACCACCACTGCCCCCTACCCTCCAGGTCAGCCAGAATGGAGAAGTCTAAACATGATGACTTTAGAACCACATGGCTTTTGACCCGCCCAGTGAGCAGCGACATCTTGCTCTGAATAACGTGAATATGAGGGGATCGGAACTCTGGGAAACTTGAGTCTGAGTGAGGGAACTGGAAGTGGGTGAATTTGGACCAATTCAAGAGTTTCTGATGGCAGAAGGTGAAACTTCTGGTGAAAGGGGCAGGATTAGAATGTGATTGCATTGCCACTCCCCCCTGCCACTAGTGACTATTTCCTTCAATACCTTTAACTTTCTGAGGTGCTTCCCACTACTCAGCATATTCCACCTTGCCTGCAGCTTTGCCAGATGCATGCCATGTTAGCAGTTTTAAAAATCGAAATTAGAAGGGGAGGTTCTATTTTTTACAAAAACAGTTGAGTGACTTATCAGTTACTTTACTGGCCAACTTGGAACTAAAATTCAAGAGATGATGCTGATTCCTTCACCCACTTGGTGGGCCGGAGTCAAGGAACATGACCCTCCATCTTACCACATTCGGCAAATGGGATCCCTTTACCAGATTATGGAATCAGCACCTTGGAAAGCACAAAAATGGAATGAGCTAGGTGACTGATCAACTTTGGTGGTCATTGGGGAGCAAGGGAGCTGGGAAGGCCATGGAAGGAGGACAAGGGAGGGGTCCCAACCTAAGCAGACCTTGACACTCTCTGCAGCTCTTTACAGTTACTAAAGGGCTTTCACATCCACCACTTTCCTGGCTCTTCACAGGGTAGAACTGCAGGTGTATTGGTATAGCTTTATGGGGGTGTGGGACGCCGTCCTCAGGAGTTAAGAGGCTGGGCCACCAGCTTATTAGAGTCAGAGACAGTGCCGCACCCTTTCGGATTCCAGTGCGCGCTTTGCTTTTCCTACCATCCTTTCTCTGCCCGCCCGGGCTGGCACGGGGTGCCAAGCCCCGTGTGCTCAGATCCCCAGTACCGCGCCCGTGTGCAGAGGTGTGTGCAGGTACTTAGTGTATCCCGTGCACCTGTTAGTCTTTCCTTCCGCAGAGACCTTGCTGCCTGACAGCCCCTGAGAAACAGGCGGCTGAGTGTGAGCTGAGCCACTTTGTGCACCCAGAGCACGACGCTGACCTGCGACGCTGGGGCTTCGTCTGGCCCGTCTCGGCCTCCTTTCAGCCTCTCTGCTCCTTCTGTCTGTCGGTGTCTCTTGGCTTCCCAGTTTTCATGGGTTTCCAATTTCCTGTCAGTTTCTCCGACCAGGTCCCCAGGGCCGTGAACTCCCCACCCTTTTCCAGCTGCTCGTACCTGCAGGCTGGCGGTCGGAGAAAGGGGGCGACGTTCGGGGGCGACCCGCGGCGGGGCCTGCGGGGCGGTGCTGACTCCCGGACGGAGCACAGGGTGCTGGGCGCAGCGTCACCCCGACCACCAAACCCGAGACGCGCCCCACCACGGGGCGGCTCCCGGGCCCGGACGAGGGGCGGAGGCTCGTCAGCAAAACACGGCCCCCCAGCCGCGCCCACCGCCGGGCGCAGCTCCCGGGGCGCCCCCCACCCCCCCGTCAGCCCCCGGCAGGACCGAGTCCGCTCCAGATCCGAGCCGGGTTTCCTCCCCGTCGCTGGGGTCCCCGCCCCTCGGAGCCGCCCGCCCGGACCAGCCGAGCGTCACCGCGGGCGCCACTGGCACCTCCCGGCCCCCCGGCGCCGGGTGTCGGAGCCCGCGGGCGGCATCTGTGCCTTCGGACTCCCGGCGCGTCACCGGAGTTCGACCCTCGGGACCCAAAGTGACGCCCTTCCCGGCGGCCTGCGCGGCCACCCGGCTCGGCGTCTCCGCGTCCCGGCCCCCGCGCCCGCCGGCGAGGTAAGGGGGCCGCGCGGCCTGAGGGGCGGCCCGGTCTCCGGCGACCAAGACGACCGAGAGCGCGGTTCCCCTCGGGCGTTCGAAGTGCTCGCCCGCGCCCCCCCAACTCCGTCGCCCCCCGGGACGCGGTGCCCGGACGCCCCTGCCCATCGGACAGCTTCCTCGAGACCCCTCTGCCGCCTGCCCCCCGCACCCGCACCCCGGCCCTCCGAGACACCCCCGTTCCCCCCTCCGCGGTCCGTCCTCCTCGTCCCTCGCCTCTGCCCCACTTCGTCTTGTCTCCCCCAGTTCTCTGTCCTCCTCCAGCCTCGCTTCTGGCTTTCTCCTCTCCTTGACCCCTTCCCCCCATCACACGGCCGGAAGAAGGGGGCGTGTCACGCTGCTTTCTATTCGCGGTCTCCCTGGTGGTGGGGGCGGGGGCGGGGGGGGGATGCGGCGCCGGGACTTTTTTGGCATCAGCTGGGCCCTGAGTCACCAGGTGTCGTGTCTGTGATTCGGTATCCACGCCTCTTTCAGCTCCCCTCTCATCCTCTCTCAACCTAATCTCCCTGCCTGCCTTTGTCTTTTTACTGCCTTGGTTATTGTCCTTTTTTGCTCTGTCTTTAGGTGCTTTGTGTAGCTGCCATCTGTCTCCGCCTCTCTGCTCTTTGCTCCCTCTCCTCCCTCTTCCAGCTCCCCAAACCTGGGACCTCAAGGGCACCAGTGCTGCGGGTGTGTGGGGTACGGTGAAGGTGGAGGGGGACTCCAGTATGCCCAGCCATGACTTCCATCATCACCGGCTCCCAAGAATGGTCATTTATATTTATGAGATTGAAAGAACAGACACAAGGATGTGGGGGTGTGGATGGCCAGGGAAATGCTGCCCCTCGTCCAGGAGCTGGTTCGGGGAGATACCTGAACAACATTCCCACAGTGCTCTGGAGGCGCAGGACTACCTCTGCCTGGACACTTCCTGGGAGTTCAGAGAGCCAGGTTGGAGGGTATCATACTGGCAGGTGGGAAGTAATCAGAGTGTGGAGCCAAGGTTGTGCAGCTGGCTAGTAACTTTGGGCTGGCCTGGAACCCCGACCTATGTTTTCCCAGCACCCACCTTTCCCAGAGCTTAAGGACTTTGCAACCTTTGTGTCCCCCCAAAAGAGAATTGAAGTAGAGGAGCGCCTTAGAGAAACAGAGGGTTGATGAACTGACAAGCTGTCCCCTCCTCCGTGTGACCCCGGGAACTGCTCCTTTCCCCTTACAAACAGCTTTCTCTGAGATGTGGAGACACCCCTGGAAATGGTCTCCCTGTCTTGGAAGCAAGGGAGGGAAACAAACGTGGAATGTTTTAGATCTGTTGGATGTGTTCCAGTTTACAAGTTGCTCACATTCTGCCCCCTTTAGGAGCAGTGGGGAGTTGCTGAAATTACCTCTAAACTACCAGTTTGTATTTTCCAGGGACCCATGAACAGCTGGTGAGGTTGCCTGGAGATGCAAATAGGAGCCACAAGTTAACCTGCTCATCTCTAGGACACAGTATCCCGAGAGCCTGATGCAAGGAGTCTGAAGCTGGAGCTTGTTGTTGGCCTGGAATCTGCTGACAGTGAGAGGAAGGCAGTTCGGGGTTCCTACCACATAATCTGGTTCTGAGTCAGCTCAGCCCTCAGCACTTGGGACCTCTGACTCCTGCCAAGGACCCAGTAATTCCTTTTTTAAAAAAAGATTTAAGATTTTATTTATTTATTTTTAGAGAGAGGAGAATGAAGGGAGAAAGAAGGGAGATACACATCCATGTGCAAAAGATACATCTATCAGTTGCCTCTCACACACCCCCAGCTGGAAACCTGGCCTGCAACCCAGGCATGTGCCTTGACTGGGAAGTGAATGGGTGCCCTTTAGGTTGGCAGGCTGGTGCTCAGTGCACCTGGCCACACTAGCCAGGGCAGGACCCAGTAATTCCTATCTTCACTCTTCAGGCCGGGTTTGGAGATTGGGATAGACAAAAAAAGCTACACAAGGGGGGGTGTTGGGGGAGAAAAAAACTACACAAAATAGTTTCATTTTCCTGGCTCCCCCACTGGCCTGGGAGCTAGGAAAACATAGTCTTGAGTCTCAGTTTCCTCACTGTGAAAGGTATGGGTTGAACTGGGTGGTCTCTAGTGGCCTTAACAGGGACTCGAAGATCCTCTGAGCCTGTGCCTTTGATGATACTGGCCTGAGCTGACTCACCTGGAAGAGCCCTAGGCAACAGCATCAGTCTGAAAAGAAAGAGGTAGATGGTGCTCATGTTTTGAAGCTTGTTTGTATAGCAAGCACTCTGTGTTTCTGTAAGCCCTGTTTATGGAATGGAAGCTAAAATCATCCCTAAACTACCCCCTTGGTAACCCTCCCAAGCCTAGGTCATGTTCTTGTTTAAAAAAAAAAATCCAACCCAGCCAATTGTAGCCTCCACAAAGTAGCCTGAATGTGTGTCCCCCAGGATGTTGGATAATGAGGCTTAATGCAGGTTATGTGAGAGTTATAACTGGCTGAAAAGAGAGGAGGGGGATTGGGTTGATGTGGTTGGTCTGGAGGAGGGAGGTCTGGAAATAAAGAACCATCAGGGCTTGGGGAGGGAGCTTCCTCTTTGGCCCTGTTTCTGGGCAGGGAAAAGAGAAAAGCTAGAGGTCAAATGGGGGCCAGATCCACAGGGGACCGACCCAAAAAGGAGACTTTGAGGAACAGAAAGGGCAGGGAAAGCTCCGTGTGGGAGACAGGGCAAAGATTACCAGGACAAATTTTAAAAGGAGGAAGCGGGGGAGGATATATAAAAAGAGGGGCTCCATCTTTTGAAGGAAGGAAAATGAGGAGGGGGCGTGGGTGATCTTGGTGGATATTTTGATTGCTGAAGCTCCAAAAGAACCCTTTTCAAAATGGTCAGCTCACCCTGGAGTGGGGCCACGTATCCCTCAGGAAGAAGGAAAGAGCGGTTTTGATTAGCCCGGAAGGGTCAGGTTGGAATTTTTTAATGGGACTGTCCATCTGTCCACTCCTTTGGTTTATGTTTGAATACATGTGTTTGGGGTGAAGGGCACGGGGGCAGTAACATGAAGGAGATCTGGGGTATATACCCCCTCCTTTCACCCTGGTAGATAAGTGACAATGGTAGGAAAGGGGGGGTGGGAGTTGAATCCTTCACTTTCCCCAGAAATCCTCCAGGAGGGGGAGTGGAGATGATGGAAATTTCTCACATTCTCACTGAGAGGTGGTAGGGCCCTGGAAGTGGTGTCCTTCCATTACTTACACCACCCCTTTTTCCTTCGAGTTCTTGGGCTAATTGGGTATGGAGGGGGTCAGAGGCTAGTCTCTGGGGAGGTCACAGGGTCCTGAGTTTGTGAATGTTCAGGAGAGTCCTGGTTGGGTGGAGCAGGATAGGACCGGGAGTTCTTGGAGCTGGTGGGAGGGGGTAGCTGGAGGCTTTCTCACTAGGGTAGGTGTGAGGAGCAGAAGAGAAGCAGTGTTTGCTTAGGGAGGGATTGTGGGGACTGTTTGTATGTAGGGAACCAGATGTGGGAACAGCAGGCTCTGACCCCATGCTGGGTTTTCTCTTTTCTGCAGGGTAATGAAGCTGGAAGCTGGCTGTGGTGTAGCCACCTCAGAGGTCCCTAAGTCCAAAAAAGAGGCTGAACCAGATGGGGAGCCACTCTCAGAAAACCTGCCACAGGAGGCCAGGCCTGGATCAGGGTTTGAGACTGAGGACAAGCCTCTGGGGGCTGAGTCAGGGCCTAAGGCCAAGGCCAAATTCTTGGGGGCCAAGCCCAGATCTGGATCTGGGCCTGAGACTGAGGTTGAATGGTTGGACTTCATGGGGGCTACAGCACAGGAGTTTGAGCAGGTGCTGGCCATCTCAGGGAGCTCCTGTGGTGGCCTCAACTATCTTCCTAACCCCTATCACAGCTGGCTCTGGGACCCCCACCTGCACCATGGTGCTGACCAAGTGGAATAGAGGAGTGGTGAGAACCTGGGCCCAAGTGAAAAGGGGTAAAGCCACATTTGGGTGCCTGGATCTCAGGAAGGAGAGGAAGCAAGCCTCTCCCTCAGCCCTTGTCTGATTGCTGAGGATATAAAGCAGGCTTTGGAACCAAAGAGTAAGGCGTTCAGCTCCAAGGGCCCAGCCAGTGAGCATGGGGTGGGAGACATGTAGAGCTCTAGGAGAGGAACCAGAGGGACTGGTGAGAGCTTCAGTATTTGAAGATTTGTTTGAGGAGTTTCAGAGTGCAGGAGCAGAAAAACGAGGGAGCAGGTAAGGGGGGGTAAGCTAGGGGTGGGAGCAGGTGGAGTGTGGGGCCAGGACCCCTGAATAGACTGACCTCTGGCACAAAGAAGGCCTGGTTGCGTTGGGTGAGCAGGACCAGTCAAAGATGGGCTCCCGGACAGAGCCTAGAGGAAAGGAGCGTGGGTAAGTAGAGGTAGGTAACTGAGGTCCTGGCCAGTTCCTGGGGGTGGGGCCAAGGAAAAGGGCGTGGCGAGTGGCCAGAAACCTGTTGCTCCGGGAGCTACAAGCATCTCAAGAGGTGAAAGCGACCCCAGCGAATGACCATTCTGCGGGCTCTGGAATCCGAGACCCAAGTGCTGAGGAGAGCGTCCTGAACTGGCTCCAGGTCTGGCCTGTCACCAAAGAGTGGTGACGAAGGAGCGCTCAGCGTGTGCGAAGAGGCGAGCCTTGTGAGCCGAAAGGGGCGGAGTCGGGGAAGGCTTCCCCTAATGGCGTTGGTCCACAGATCGCGCAGGAGTCGGTGCACTTGATTGACACGGGAAGACGGCGCTGGTGGAGGGGCTGCGAGTGGCGCCCTGGGAGTGCGGCAAGGGCGTGACCAAACTGCTGCGGCGCTTCTAAGTTTGCAGCTAGTCAAGCGACAGTACCTGGGGGTAAGGTGGCACAGCTTGCCCGGGAAGAGCCGCTGCCCCTCTGGGGGCTGAAGAAAAACCACCTAATCACCAAGCAGGTGAGAAGGACGTGGGCTCGGAGTCCTCCCCCAGGCCCAGCCAGTCACCGGCTTTCTTACTCTGCCGTCTCCACCAAGTGGGGGCGCCCATGAGCCCAGCACTGGGACTTGCAGTCCTCACCCAGGCCCTTTTGCCAAAGGGAAGTGAAATAGTTTCCAGACTCCCAGCTGTCAAACCCTCAGGCCTTACTTCCAGAGGCCGGAGAGCTCGGGAGCCTAGACTTACGTGAATCGGCCTCCCCTACATCGATCCTGCCTCCCTGCAGGGACCCAAACATCTGAGCCCCCTTCATCCTCCCTCGCCTACCAACTCAACTGATCTGCCTCATTCCCGCGTCTCTCGGAGACTCAGCCCCCTCCCCGTCCCCGTTCCCTGGATATTGGACACTGACTTCTCTTCTATTCGGAGGCTTTGCCCCTGGTTCGTCCTTGTTACCCTTAGGGACCCAGGTTTCCACATATCCCACTTCACCCTGCACCTCCGTACGGCCCAAGTGGGAGCCCGGGGGTGCGAATGTGAGAGTGAAGATGCCGAGAGGCGCTGAGCTCGCCAGTCCTCCCGTCGACCGTCGTCAGGAGCCCACTTGTACCCGCCGCAGGGCGTCCTTTTGGTCAGATTCAACGGGTTGACGCTGCTGGCAGGTCTGGGCGCGAGGCAGGCGGCGCTGCGGGTCTCAGGCACCTTCTCTCCCCTGCCCACCGAGGCCCTGTCAGAGGCAGGCGGCAACGTGGCAAACCTCCTGCTGTCGCCCACCCTCCGTGGAAGGCAGGACCTTCATCCAGGACTGGAAGCCCTACGACCGAGAGCAGCCTGCGCCTGCTGGCGGCCGAGGGCCTGGAGTGGCGCGTGGACGGCCGCAAGCGCCCGGGCGTGATCACGCTATGCACACGCCCTTTCCTCATTCTGCTTGGCAGCGAAGGCGCATGGTGCTGCCTCGGCGTAGATGCCTTTGGCTGCGACTGTGCTCAAATGCAGAGTCAATTTCCGTGGCGTCTGCAGCTCCGGACCCCGCACCTCACTGGCCTCAACGTCTCGTGTCTGCTGTTCCTGGCGCCCCAGTTGTCACAGCTGCCTTATTTCTGCCAGCCGGCTTGGGGCTCGAGCCGATCAAGGATTACGCTGAGCAGTGTCTGCTGGAGGGCAACGTCTGAGGCCTCCACTGTCTGAGGAGCGCTTTATACCCTCTCCCCTCCCCCAGCACTGGATCCCCAGAAAACCTGGCCCTCATTTGCAAGCTCCACCCCCTACCCTGCTGCCTATCGTAACCAATTCTCCATCCCTCCCTTTTGCCCCTACTCTGTCATCTTGCCTCTAACACTCCCAAACACCGTTGCCCAAAGCCTGATCTGAGTCACCTGGCTTGGGGGAGACCCTTGTGCTGCAATTGTCCACACTTTCCCCTTCCCGGCCAAAGAACTTGTTCCTTCACACGCTTCATAGCTTTTTCCTGTGCATCGTCCTATCCTGGGAGTGAACTCTGTCCTTTCTCGCTCTCCTTTCTGCCTCCTCCTGGTGGGAAGTGGGCAGAAGTGCATGCAACGTCCAGCACCTCTCCCGGAGCACAGCCTCCCGGAAAAAACTGTCTTCCTCCTGCTCCTTCCCAAGCCCTCAGAGCTTGCCCAGCGCTCCCCTCACTGCCCTCTTAGCCTCTCGTGCCTCCAGACCAGTGGCCTCTCCCTCCTCTCTGCACCCCCATCTTCCTCCTCCCTAGACCTCCCAGACACAGCTCCTCATTGCCTCTCTGTTCCCTTTCTCCGTGACGTTTATCACCCACCCTGTGTGCAATATGGAGAGGGACCCTGTAAATGAAATAGATTTATAATGCTTTCCCTCCTTTGGCCCTCTGTGCTCTGGTGTTGCACCTTTCTGTGCCTGCCCCTCTGATTCGGGTTTCCTCCAATTTTGCACGACGTTGCTATTTCACAGGGCTCCTCCCTGATGTCCCCCAACCAGCGGCAGAACCAGGAGGCTCAGGCTGGAGGGTTGTGTAGTGGAGCACAGGCCCCTCAGCCTGTGTGGGGCTGTCTCCTGATTCTAAAAGGCTCCTTCTAGTGAGACTGGAACTCCCAACTCCAGGTTTTTCCGGACAGTCCCCTCCCTCTCGTTCCTTTCTGCTTTTTGGACTTTGGCAGTCTTCTAGTTAAATACAAGTAGTGACAGCTGTATTTCCACAGTGCTGTCTTCTATACTGGATCCTCACATCTACCGCAGAGGGAGGAAATAGAGGCCCAGGAAAATCCAAGTGACTGCCCAGTCTCTCGCAGTAGCTGGGAGCTTCACAGGGACTAGAACTCAGATGTCCCATGCCTCAAGCAGGCCTCTGAGCTACCTCACGGTAGCTTGAATTCCGTGTTGCACGGTGGAGAGCTGCACTGACAGCAAGCACAGGGCTCCCCCGGATGGAATCCGAGATGTGGGCAGAGGAGGGCGCCAGAAGGTGGAAAGTGGGCAAGGAGAACCACTGCTGTTCCAGTTGCGCCTTTGCTGATGCGCTCCTCTACCTGCTGTGCCTGGCCGTGCTGCCGCCCTTCCAGTCACTTCAACCAAGGCTATGTTGCAATAAAAACGAACTCAGCCCACCATCTGTGTTTGTTTTACTTCTTCTCAGTGGGGAGGCGTGAAACGCTTTATCCTCCCCCTCCCCAAGTAGCCTGTGTTAGAGAGGATCTCTAAGCCTTGTGGCAAGGGAGCTAATGACTTTCTGGAGGGGAACTGGGAAAGGGTGCATGCCCTTGCCCACCTCAATCCCCACGCCAGACAAGCGGCAGAAAGAAGCGGTTGCACTAAACCAAGGCGGTCAGCAGTGCTCCGCCCTGACTAGTCCCTGGCCTCACTTTCCTCTGGACCTGGGAATAAGCTGCTGTCCAGATTCTGTGGGCTCTTCCTTCAAGTACCCTTTGACATCCAGGACCACCTCCCTTAGTCTTGCGATCCAGGCGTCTAACTCGTAGCTCTCTGTTCTCTCGTGGCCAGCTCGCTCGCTTTCTCCATTCCTGGGTGGGCACCGCGGAGAAGTGGAAGGAGGCGGAGGTAGCCTGGGCGCTGCTTGCCCAGGAACCAAGCTCCAGAGCAGTGAAGACTGCGATCCCGAAAAGTAACACGCGGGGGCGCTAGAACGTTCGGACGCGGGCGAGGCAGCGCAAGGTGGTTTCAGTCCGTGTGTGTCCATGGGCGTCTTTGTGTGTCTGCGTTTCTGTATATGTGTGTACGAGTAATGGGATGTCTGAGTAAGATATGTTCGGGACAACGTGGCTGGTGTACCCCAGAATCAGGTACTCCAAGTGTCTTTTCGATGAGGACGGTGCTTGATATGTTGCTATGTACGTGTGGATGGGGAGGCAGGGAACTGTGTGTGTCGTCGTGTGTGCAAGGCGTAGCCTCTGAGTCCCTGATCCGCGTATTGGATTTTTGAAGTCACATACCTTTAGGGTTTTTACCCCTCTATCCCATGTAAGAAGAATGAAGGCTCTCAAAGCCAATCTCTATTACCCTGGTCACATCTTCAGCATAGGTATGTGTGACCCTGCTAGGCTAGGTGGGACATTGTGTTTGTGCAATGGGTGTGTCTCAGAATATCAGTGTAACTCTAGTGATAGTGTGTTGTATGTGTGTGACAGGTGGGTGTTGGGAGGAGGTTGCTTCAGGTTTATGGAAGTAAACAATTTCCTTTTTCTTGTTAGTGTGTGGATATCACCTCCTTCAGGGCGTGTTTTCCTCTGTCTCTCCAGTGGTTGTCTCTCTCTGTCTCTCCTCATCTCTGTCTCTCTCTCTCTCTCTCTCCCTTTCTTGGTGACTCATCTCTGCGGCTTTGCTCTCCCCCGGGCTTCCTGGGTCTCCCCTCCCCCATTCAGGACTGTAGGGGGGTATGAAGGAATGGGATGGGGTAATGAAGATTTGGGTGAGCACCCCCTTCCTATTACTTATAATTCCCAGACATGTCAGTGGCCCCCCAACCCTCTCCCAGTCCCCTTCCCAGGACTCTTCACCCCACTAAACTGGGATGGCAGGGGATAGGGCAACAATGCATTCTAATGGGGTCATTTCCAGGGGCTGCCTCATCACCTTCTTTCTGTTCAAAGTGGAGACCCCTGTCCCTCTCCTAAAGTGCCCCCGCCCTGCCTGTCCCCCACCCCCATCGCTGACGCAATGAAAGGCTGCAGAGGTGAGTCACCATTTGGGGGGAAGGGAGGGAAGGGGGACCGTAAGCTTCACAGGAAAAGGGGTGTTGGTGGGGATGGAGGCCGGGGGACAAGCTCCTGCTCACTCGCTCTCTCTGTCTCTCCCAAACTTTCTCAGGGACAACACCCAATGCTCTGCCCCCTCCCCTGGTTTTCCAAACCTTGAGCTTGGATCATCACTCTGCTGGACCCCACCTTCTCCTCCTACTCTACTGGAGAGTGGGAGGTTCAGAAACAAAGACAGAGAGAGAGGTTTATACATGCAACTCAGAGCAAACACCACACATCCCCTCTGGGTCCGTACTTCAGCTTTGCCTTTTCCAGCTCTGTCTCTCCCTTTCTCTTTCTCTTCTGCCATCTCCCTCTCTCCCTACCCCAGGAACCTATCTTCAGTCCAGCAGGGTATGAAGAGCACAGTACATCTCCAAGAGGTAGAGAGAGTGCGTGAATAAACTGAACCAGGTAGGGAACTGGAAAGGAGAGAGGCAGAAGCGAGCCCAGAGATTCGGAGACCATGCTGATAAGAGGGATCAAGATCCAGATTGTGGAATCACCAAGCCTTATTGCCATTGGTACCTGGGGCTTCCATCTTGCTGCCCTCTCAACCACTCCATGAAGACTGGGACTCTTGGGATGCTAATTTCTGAGATGTTCCCCTGGGCTCTTGGGCTCAAGTGGAGAAAGGAGTGGGGAATTGTGGAAGAATGGCGAAATGGACGAATGCTCTGAAAACAAAGGGCAAGGACCCGAACTTGAGGGCTGCAGATGAGTGGCTCGGACACTGAGGCTTCATGGCACAGAAAAATGTCAATGTGGGGGAGGGGTGGGAAAGAGCAAAGGAACATAAAAGTCCACATAACCTCTAACATATACCATCAGGCATGAGAGAATCCAGAGAAATGGGCAAAACACATATGTACTGACACATCTTATTAACACACCAACCCAGGCACACCTTCCAGGCGCCAGCAGATGCCCAGACTGGAGACACGCAAAGAACCTTAACTACGTAGGTATACTGACACTCAGGAGGGATCGGAACCCACACACACTCACTGACACACAGACACCTGGAAACAGGCAAAAACACAGCCACACAGATTGGAAAAGACTACATATTTAAATGGGAACATTACCATGCCCATCCACTCTTGGTTTCCCCAATTTTCTTCCTTTTCACTAATCCCTGTACACACACACATGTTCATGCTCACATATGTGTGTGTCCACATGGATGAGCCCACAGTAACAGTTTCTCTAGGTGCATATCCCCTCACCTCACACTTGGTCTCTCAGCCCCATCAGCCTCTCTCAGTCTCCCCCTTGGCTCCCTCCCCTCATTCTCGATCTTGAATGGCTTCCCCTCCCCCGCTCCAGATGTCACAAGCATCTCTCTGATTCATCCTCCTCAGGAAGGTAACGTGACCCCCTCCTCATTCCAATGCTCTCAGTAACCAGGCTGAGAAAAAAAGGGGCAGATGGGGAGGAGAAGGAAGAGGGGAGCCCACAGGGGCAGCAGATCCTAGATTGTCCTGTGGGGGTGGGGGTGAAGTAGCGCAGTGGTCTGTTGTCCCCTCCTCTCCCTCCTTTCCTTGGCATCTCCAAAATCACCTTGGCTTTCAGTTTATTCCCTCCTTTAGCCTGTTCCTTCTACCTTTCCAGATTTCGTCCTTCCTTCCTCCCTCTCCTGCTGCCTTCTCTTCTCTCTTTCCTCTCTCTCTCTACTCCTCCCCACCTTTTCCCTGGCAGAGCTAATGGGCTTTCTTCTGGGAAAGTCGAGCCACTGATGGAACCGAGAATCTACTGTTGGCTATAGAGGGAAAACACGTGAGTGACTGTGTATGTGTGAGAGAAAGAGAGAGAAATGAGGGTCAGTGCTAGGAAGAGATGAGGAGGGGGTTGAGGACTGGCTCTGGCAGTCTGAGCCGGGCGTGTGCCCATGGGCACCCGTGTCCGCAGTTTTTGTGTGTCTGGTGTGTGTCATTTTAACTCCCCCCTTTCCCTGCCCACGCCCCCGCACAGCTCTTTGCCTGCACTGCAGCCCCCCTCCCTCCCCTTCATTCCTGCAGTGGCTGCTCCCTTTGGCTATCTCCCCTCTCCCCTACCCCCTCCCCATTTCCGTCCCCCTCCTCCACCCCCCGCCCACGGCTGGTCTCCCTTCACTGGACCCGGCTAGGTGATGGATTGATTCTCTTTGCGCAATCTGTGCGTCATCGTCCCCCACCCCCCGGAACCTCTAGCTGTCCAAGCCCCCAGCCCCAACCCCTCAAGCTAGAGATACGGACGAGGGGTATGGTGGCTGTAAGGGGCGATTTCTGACGTTGCACTCCCACCCCCACCTCCTGCATCGCGTTCAAACCGTCCCTTTAAGCAGTGGAGAGAGCTGGAGTTGAGTCACCCCGCCACCTGCGCAACCCCCTCCCCACCTGGTTGCTCTTGCCCTCCAAACGTCCTTTGTGGGGGAAGCCGCAGGGAAAAAAAAGAAGCCGAAGGGGGATGGGGAGTGGTGGGCTGGAAAGGGGAACAGCGGAGGGGCCAAGAGACACTACAGAGTCAGCTGGACAGAAGGACAGACACACCTTTTTCTTCAGACATGCACCGACAGTGCACAGACACGACACAGAGGCACAAACATCCTCAGACTTTTCCCTTTCCCTTCGGACTTGGACCCTTTTTGGTGGGATTACCAAAACCGTAAGGTCCACCCATCTGCCCCGGCCCAGGGCCGGCACACTGCACCGCAGATCCGCGCACAGCGCCTGCAGGCGCGCAGATCCGTCCCTCCTTTCTCAGGTTCACGCCGTCCTTGGGCGTGTTCCCCATGGATCTTGAGGCCGGGGGATGAGGAGCCGGCCCCCACACCCTACTTTGGATTTTTACCCTCCCCCTTCCCAGTAAGATATCCTGTTGGTGCCCAGTCAGACCTGGGAATGCCCCTATCCTATTCCGTTTCTCGACACGGATTCCCGCAGCTGCAAGTTGCTGGATAACCCACCTTCCTGCCTTCCAGCGCCTCTGCATCCACCTTTCCATTCATTCTCCCATTCATTCATTCATCCTTTTCCCTTCATCCCTCCTTCACTCATTCATAGCCCCCAACCCTGCCCGCTCCGGCATTTCATTCATTCATTCATTCATTCATTCATTTCCCGGGTGCTTCACTAGCGCACGCCCCTCCAGTCGAGGGCCCAGTGCGCAGGCGCAGGCCGGGAGAGCACCGCAACCTCCAATCACTGGGCATCCTCCAGCCTCTAGGCACCCGCCCGCTTCCCCATGAATGAACATTGACGTCAATGGGGCGGGACCACCCCACGTGACACCGCGCACCCCCCTTTATAAGACCGCCGCGGCGCGGGCGCTGTCCAGCGTGCTGAAGCCGGAGCGAGCAAGCTTCCCGGAGACGCGCGGACCCAGCGGAGTCCAGCCTGCTGGACGCCAGACCTTGCCCGTCGCTCGTATCCTAGCCATCTCTCCGAGCCAAGGCGAACGCGTCCAGATCTTCCCCTGTCCCCACCCTGCCTCGACCCTCCTCTTCACCACCCGCGTCGTGACACCAGCTGGTAAATACTCCACTGTCGGACCCTCAGACCCGCAGCAATGGGAGTGATGGAGGGTTCTCTCTCCTCCCGGGTGGGGGTGTTTAAACCACATCAGGGAGCCACCCGCGAGGATCCCTGGTAAATGGGGGAGTCGCTGCTGTTCTCTTGCTGCTCAAGTCGCCCACGCACCATCCAGAGTCCTGTGGGGAGGGAGCAGAGATGTTTTCCCCTTATCCTCGCTGCTTAATACGTGGGCGCTGGCAATGAGATGGCTCAGAGAAGGGGGCGAGGAGGCTCCGTGGGTGCGAGGGTTTCCGGCATTTTCCCATTTACACGACTCCAGAGATCGCCATAATATCTTCCTAATTTGAGCCTAAACGTCCTTCTTCTGGGTAAGATTATGGGGATTGGGGAAGCCCTGATTTCCTGATTAAAGGTGGGGGAAGGGAATATAGAATCAGAGAGTGAAAAATCCTTATAGAATTTTTTCCCCTTTTGCCCTCTTTTGTTTTTCAGTCTTGGAAGTCCCTTGGTCATGAAATCGCTCAGGTTATCGGCTTCCTCCCTCTTCTGCTTTCTTCTTCTGCTAAAGGGGCTGGAAGGAGCGCCCCCCGGGCGCCCTGAGGCGAAGTCACCTCCTTTCAGCTCTGAGCATAAAGAGCCGGTAGCTGGGGACACAATACCCTGGCCAAAGGATGGTCCCGTTCCAGAGGTCCGAGCCGCTCGAAATTCAGAGCCGCAGGACGAGGGAGAGCTTTTCCAGGGGGTGGATCCCCGGGCGCTGGCCGCGGTGCTGCTACAGACACTCGACCGCCCGGCCTCGCCCCCGGCGCCAGGCGGCTCCCAGCGGGGGCCAGAGGAAGAAGCAGCAGAAGCTCTGTTAACCGAGACAGTGCGAAGCCAAACCCACAGCCTCCAAGCTCCAGAGACCCGAGCACCCGCGACTCCGCCTCTCCCTCAGACTCGGAAGAATGGTCCCGACGCGGGCGACCCCTCCGAGGAGCTCGAGGCGCTAGCTTCCCTGCTCCAGGAACTGAGAGAGTTCAGTCCGAGCAGCACCAAGCGCCAGCAGGAGACAGCAGCGGCAGAGACGGAAACTCGCACCCACACGCTGACCCGAGTCAACCTGGAGAGCCCAGGGCCGGAGCGCGTGTGGCGCGCTTCCTGGGGAGAGTTCCAGGCGCGTGTCCCGGAGAGCGCACCCCTGCTGCCCCCGGCTCCTCAGCAATTCCAGGCTCACATGTCCGAGAGTCGCCCCCTTCCCGAAGCCCACCAGTTCGGGGGGAAAGTGTCCTCCCCAAAAACACACCTAGGTGAGGCATTAGCACCCCTGTCGAAGGCGTACCAAGGCCTGAGCGCCCCCTTCCCCAAGGTGCGCCGGCCGGAGAGCTCACTCCTGAGCGGCTCCGAGGCGGGGGAGCGCCTTCTACAGCAAGGGCTGGCTCAGGTAGAGGCAGGGCGGCGGCAGGCGGAGGCCACCCGACAGGCCGCTGCGCAGGAAGAGCGGCTGGCGGACCTAGCCTCGGACCTGCTGCTCCAGTATTTGCTGCAGGGCGGGGCCCGGCCACACGGCCTGGGGGGTCGGGGGCTGCAGCAAGAGAAGGAGCAGGAGAGCGAGAGGGAGGAGGCGGAGCAGGAGAGACGCGGCGGTGAGGAGAGGGTGGGGGAAGAGGACGAGGAGGCGGCGGAGGCGGAGGCGGAGGCGGAGGAGGCGGAGAGGGCGCGGCAGAACGCGTTGCTGTTCGCTGAGGAGGACGGGGAAGCCGGAGCCGAGGACAAGCGCTCCCAGGAGGAGACGCCCGGCCACCATCGGAAGGACTCTGAGGGGGCAGCAGAGGGCGGGGAGGAGGAGGACGACGACGACGAAGAGATGGACCCACAGACGATCGATAGCCTTATTGAGCTGTCCACCAAACTCCACCTGCCCGCGGACGACGTGGTCAGCATCATCGAGGAGGTGGAGGAGAAGCGGAAGCGGAAGAAGAACGCCCCTCCCGAGCCCGTGCCGCCCCCACGGGTTGCCCCCGCCCCTACCCCAGTCCGTTCCCCTCAATCCCCGCCCCCTGCCCCCGCCCCTGCCCGAGACGAGCTGCCAGATTGGAACGAGGTTCTCCCGCCTTGGGATCGGGAGGAGGTTGAGGTATTTCCCCCGGGGCCCTACCACCCTTCTCCCAACTACATCCGACCTCGGACTCTGCACCCTCCCGCTGCCTCGCGCCGCCGCCACTACCACCACGCCCTGCCGTCTTCGCGCCACTATCCTGGCGGGGAGGCCCAGGCGCTGCGAGCGCAGGAGGAGGCGGAGGCGGAGGAGCGCCGGCTGCAAGAGCAGGAGGAGTTGGAGAATTACATCGAGCACGTGCTGCTCCGAAGCCCGTGACAGGCCCCGCCCCCGAGCGCCAAAACGGCGCGCGCAGTCTCCCCCCCCTCCGTGTCGCTCCGGTCCCTGTTGGGTGTTTGCATGCGTCCCGACCCCGCCCTCAGCCCCCGCCCTCTCCCCGGGGCTGTGCTGGGGACCTGCCAGACCTCTCCCGGGGTCCGAAGCCCGAAGTCCCCAAACTCACTCTGGGGTATTCCAGGGCCAGCCCAGGCGGGCAGGTGGTTTGTGCGAGTTCTCTCCCCTCACGGGGAGCTGCCCCCATTTAGTCTTCTAGTTACAGTCGTGTCTGTCTCCTGCCCTTCCGGCTTCCCACAAGCCTCTCCACCCTCCCGATCTCTGTGAATTGACCCCTTCTTTCCCTTCTCTCTTGTAAATACCCCTCACGGAGGAAATAGTTTTGCTAAGAAATAAAAGTGACTATTTTATTAGGACTTTGTTCTCGGTTATTCACCCGTCCCCTTGGACCAGCGCGGTCCTTCCCAAGGGGCGGTGAGGGAAACGCCAGCCACATTCCCCACCTCCTGCTCAAAAGCCAGGGTGGAGTGGCACCAACCACTTCATACTGTATTTGGGAGTAGTATAGGCTCACATCCATTTGGAAACCCCATATTCCATTTCCAGCTTGGGGGTGATGGTAGTTAAGTCATGGGTTTCCAGGGCCTGGCAGAAAGATGCAAAGTAGATAAGGAGCCACAGCTATGGGCTACTTAGGAGGCTCTCCTTTCCCTGACCCTGAAGCCACATAGGCAGTGCTGGTGGCTCCCCAGAGCCCCTGTTCCACCTCCCTTAACTAATCCCTAAATACTCAGGTCCTGCAAACTTCACAAACAATACGGGGGAGGGGGTGCTCGGCAGCCACATAAACAACCTGGTTTTAGCCACTTCTCAACCCTTTTCTAAGCATAGGGGATGGGATACACCCTTGAACTCCTGAGTCTCCTCCCCAAGTATAACTAAACCATGCAAACGCAATCTTCCACAGAGAAATCATAAAACAGGACACTCAGTTAAATTTGCATTTCAGAGAAACAATGGGTACGTTTGCATAGGATACACTTAACCTTAAAAATTATTCTTATCATACAAATTGAACTGGGTCTCTATCCCTTTTTCAAAACAATTTTTGGCCCTAAATCTGGCGACCCCAGTTCCCAGGAAGTCAACTGTGCAGTGTTCCCAGGCCCTCCTGACTGATCCCAGCAACCCTGCCTTCCTTCACAGACCCTCAAACAGGCAAAGTCCAGAAATGTGTTTCCTTTTATTTCAGATGAAAGGAAATAAAGTCAGACACTTCCCCACCCTACCCCCTTAGCTCCTGCCTAATCCAGAGCCTGGTGTGAAGAGGGTCAGGGCCCAGTCTCCCGTGAAGCCTGCCCTTCCCCCAACCCTCCCTCCCTCCAAATGGCAAGGTTAGAAAAACAATTAACTGTGTTGTTCCTCCCCCAGCACTGAACAGAGGCCCTACTGCAGCCAAGAAGGAAGGGAAGGAGGCAGATGAGGGGAAAGAACAACCCATTCACTACACAGATGCCCCCTTCCCAGGCAGAAAGGCTGCCCTGGTTGGCTGCAGGGGGGATGGAGGTAGGTTATGGGGCAGGGAGAAGAGCCCTGAAAACCTTTTCCCTTTAACCTGACATATTTATATATTTACAGTTATAAGGGAGGGAAGGAAGTTTGGAGTAACAGATCTTCAAAGGCAGGGAATGAAAGCCAAATAGCACCCCCCTCTTGGGTCTTGGTCATATTTTTCTGCCTCCCAGCTCCAAAAACCTTCAGTAGGAAAAGGGAAACAGGAGGTAGGGGGTGAAGGGAGAAACTGTTTGAGGGTCCTGAGCCTACAGCTCACTCCAAAAGAAGGTGAGGCAGCAGAGGAGGGGCAGCTGAGTCCCACCCAGAAAGGGCTGCTTGCGGCTTGTGCCCTGCCTCTCCACCAGCTCCCCACATTTCCATGCGGCCAAGGCGGGGGCTATGCCAGACCCATCTCCTCCAACACACTGCGCGGCGACTCATCCTCCTAAGGCAGAGACAAACAGGGTGACGCAGAGACACCAGGAGAGGCAGACAGGGAACGAGGGAGGTGGGTGGGTAAGACAACAGCATCACAAAGACAGAGGTGGAATGGGGGAAGCACACAGAGAAACGGGGAGGGGAGAGAGAAGCCAACGTGAGCCCAAGGTGGAACAGCTGGGGAACCCTTCAGGGGAGTTCCCCAGCCTCCTAGGACTACCTCCCAGAGCCAACCATGACCAGGAGAAGGGTCCAAGTTGAGTTCACCACCACCCAGAGAACCCAAAGCCAGGTTGGTGAGTAGGGGGCTCAGCCTTAGTATCTGAAAGGGAGTGAAGCTGGGACTGGGGAATGGGAAACACCTTCTGAGGGCTGGGGTTGGCACATGGTTAGGTCCACTTTTTCAGGGGTAGAAGAAATAAAAGGTTGGCATCAGGTCCCTGAGGTATGGTGAGCCAGACTGCAGAGAGATGAGTCATTAGGGTCTGAGCAGAGCACTAGTAACAGGTGTGTGTGTGTGTGCGTGTACCAAGACACATGTGTGCTAGAGTGTGTGTGCATGCACACACATGTATGTGTATAAGGGAACCTGTCCCAGTGAGGTGACAAGTTCAGTTCTGCTTATCTCCTACTGCAGAGAAGAGGCCCCTATCTCACCCCCTCCTCAAAGCCAGCTCAGGCCAGCTTGCTTGTCACTGCAGATTCCGGTGACTCATCTTCCTGCACCAAGTCTCAGCAGTGGCACAGCAGAGAGGGGGCAAGCACTAATGCGGTGAGGGCAGGGGTGCCTGACAGCAGCGTGAACCAGTAGCTAGGTGCCTTCGGTCCCAACCCCAAATCCCTACAGCCTTTTGCTTCTGAGAAGCAGAGGCTTACTGAGCATGGATTAAAAAAGGGGGGAAGAAAATAATTATCTACTGGGTGTTCTTTCTCCAATTTGTTGAGCGACCCTAAAATGCTAAGATAAGCAAGGGACAAAGGATATTCAGCTGGGGTGAGACACTTTGGATCTTATGGGAAGGAGGAGAAAACTGACAAGGGGGCTGTCTACCACCCCCACCTTCCACCCAAGCAATCAGGGCTTGAGAACAAGCCGGCCAACTGGGCGCGGAGGCCAGACGCCACAGGGTGGGGGGTTCCTTTGGAAGCGGTGGTGGGAAGGGGGCAGCTGTGGCAGGCAGGCAGGGTGTCCAGGGGAGGGACGGCACCCTCTACCGTGATATTCTTCCTTCTCCTCACTGTTCTGGGCCCATACCTCCTGCAGCAGGTCAGCCTGCTCAATAGCCTTTAGCACACTCTTCTTGGAGGTGTCTTGGACATCACCCCCCATCAAAAACTCATCCAAGATGAAGTAGGCCTTCTCAAAATTAAAGATGATGTCCAGCTCACACACCTGAGAGGAGGGGGAAAGGCAGAACTGAGTGATGAAGTGCATTTCCACCCAACCTCTTCCAGCCCCTTTCTCAATGTGGCTCCTTGTCTCCTTCACGAAGATTCTTCCCACCTTAGGTTCTTGTCTCAGGTCTATATTTTCCCAACCCCTAAGCCTTAGACTTGGTTCAGGTTTTCCTTCTCTTTCTCTTGCCTCTTTCTCTGTGATCATAAAATATTAGCTGCCCTTGACTGTGGCTCTTGTTGCTGTCCCCCTCACCCCAAATCTGTGACATTGTTCCCACCGGCAGCCAGGCTGGCCTCCTTCCCCAGGTACTGTGGGGCGGGGAAGGAGGAGTCCAGATCAGGAACTACTGACAAAATGTGAATAGGGCCTCTGTTCTTTTGTGCAAAGTCTGAGCTGAGCTCCAAATGGATTTATTAAGTGGCAGATTCTGGTCCCCACTCTCTTTCCCCAGCTACAGGGCATGGCTAGGTTTAAGGCTTAAAGAGAGAGATTACTTACCATTCACACTGCTCCAACTTCACCTCTCCCAAGTATCCCAGGGCAGAATAGAAGGGTCCCAGAGTTTGGAGGCAACAGGGGATTGCTGAGTATGGAAACAGGGAAGGGTGGGAAGACTTACGCTGCCAAAGTATTTGTCCAGGAGCTCCACATATCGGTGGATCAGTTCCAGTGTGATGAGTTCATTGTCTTGGCCCTCGATGGCGCAGCAGAAATAGAGGCTGGCGTATCTGAGGACAGGGGCACATGACAGAGGTAGCTGGGAAGGCTATTAGGCCTGCTCCAGGACCAGGTGGTCTGGGCTCAAACCAGAGGTTTGAGCAAACCTCTCATTTCTCCTCATTCCTAGCTTAGAGTCTGTGTGGCTACTAGACATATGTGGCATGGTCCCAGGGTATACAAAGAGTAACTCGTTCAGTCAGTCTCCTAGTGCCTCTCACAAACAGGCAAACACCAAACTCCTCTTGCTCTCTGACCTGCTCACTTTGACTCAGCAAAAAACTGAGCCAAGTAATTCACCTGCTCAGAAAAGGAAGTGGAAAGTGTGTGTGTGTTGGGAAAAGTAGTACAGGACTTTTTAAAAAAGATTTTATTAATTTATTTTTAGAGAGAGGGGAAGAGAGGAAGAAAGAGGGAGAGAAACATCAATCAGTTGCTTCTTGCATGGCTCTGACCAGGAACTGAACCTGCAACCCAGGCATGTGCACCACGAATTGAACTGGTGACCTTTTGCTTTATGGGAAGATGCCTAACCAACTGAGCCACACCGGTTAGGGCAGCACAGGATTTATGACTGTTGAATGAGGCAGGAAGGGACATGTGTAATGGGCACAATAGGGCCTCTGGGACAGAGGTATGTGAATGAAGTAGGTGTGAGATTAGAGAAAAACTAAGTGGGGAATAAGAATTTCTTCAAGGTAGCCCTGGCTGGTGTGGCTCAGTGGATTGAGCGCCAGCCTGCAAACCAAAAAGTCGCTGGTTCGATTCCCAGTCCAGGGCACATGCCTGGGTTGTGGGCCAGGTCCCCAGTGGAGGGCATGTGGGAGGCAACTACACATTGATGTTTCTCTCCCTATCTTTCTCCCTCCCTTCTCCTCTGTCTAAAAATAAATAAATAAAATCTTTTAAAATTTTTCTTCAAGATAAGCTTGGAAAGGAAAGAAAGCTGAAGCTCATCACTGCCCTTCAGATGTCCTTAGCTCCCAGTTCTCCTTGACCTATGGACTGCTTATTACTCAGCCATTCAAACCCATTGCCAGGCACCAATCAAGCAGGATCCAGGCAGGTCTGAGAAAGGTGGGAAGTCACCTCTTATAGACAACTTTGAGGTCCCTCCATTCCAGGAAGCTGCACATCTTAGGCTTGCGAGCCAGAACAACCTGCATAAGCTCCCGAACCATCTTCTTTCTCTCCTTGTCTGATGTGGCCAGGTACCATTTTTGCAGCCTCAGCTTTCCCTGCCGGCTGAACAGCAGCATGAATCGCATCTGTGGGGAGAAGAGGCAGAGCACAGGGTCAGAGACTTGATTCTCTGAGATTCTTTCCTCCATAAACAAACAGCCCCAAACTCATCTCATCTAATTCTTCTCCACTCACAGCTTCTACTTTCTTCAAACAATCAGCCCTTACTCTCGACTCTGGGTATTTCCACCAGCTGGTGCCTTTCCTTCTGGGGGGTGTCAGAGCTTCTGAACCCGTCTGTCATCTGGGTTGAAATTTTGGCTTCACCAGTTGAGTAATTTGCTTTGGACAATTTATGTCTCTAGGCCTCAGTTTCCTGGTCTATAAAACAGAGATATTAAAAGTACCTACCTTACAGAGTTGTTAGGAGGGATTAAATGAGTTGATATATGCAACAGGGCCTGGCACATGGTAATCACTGTAACACTAAACTATTCTTTTTTCCCCAACCTCCTGTTTCCTAATAGTTTCCTAAATGTAAGTAAAATGCCTAGCACAGTGGCAATTAGCCCGTAGCTGATGTCAAGATGTCTGCTTCCTTCCATGCTCCTTTCCACCACCACACTGAAATCAGGTATTTTGTCCCTGGAGAAGCTACTTCAATTCTCCACCCCATCCTGGCCATTTGCATTTGAACATGTCCCTAACACACTACCTTCCTGTGCCAGTCATATGCCTAAAGGTGCTTTTCATCTTAGCATTTGGTAATGAGAACCCCCAGCCCCCAAATTCCACCCTCTTCTATCATCAGCCATCTCCCTATGCATCTCCCAATGGCATTTGGCCATTGGTATTCCTCTCTTCCTTCTTTCAAGGTGCCTCCTGCTACATGCCCACTCGTCCCCAGATACCAGGTGACCAATTTCCCTTTCAGTTCTTCAGTTAGTACACAGCCATCCAGGGTGGCTCTCCTAGGGAATGTTTGTGGAACAAGGCCAAACTGGGCAGATTAAGGAAGAATGCAGAGCCTTCCCTACCAGGTGTGCCCCCAACTACTCAGTTCTAAGAGGTCCAGGCTACATCCTGGAGTTATTGCTTTCTCCCTGCAGTTCTCCTCCCCGTGGACAGTACCAGGGCTGGAATCTTTGGGTGTGTGAGATAGTACTAGTTTAATACTGTTTAGTAGGCTAAAGATCAATTACAGGGGTGGGTTGTTTGTTTTTGGTGGTGAAGAAGAGAAAGCGCCGTTAGCACGGTGGGAAGGCAACAGAGGGGCGCAAGGGAGACTTGCACCTCTAAGATAAGGGTGGAGGGACGAGCAGGAAGACGGAAGTCCTGGGTTCCGGAAAGAGAATGGGGTGGAGAGCGGAGAGTATAGAGCACCGGAGCCGGGGTTAAAAGCCTGGGTCCTCAAGAGCAAGACCTCGGGCCCATCTGCCTTTCCACCTTACTCTGCCTATAGGCAGCCGGGCGATAAACCGAAGAAGGCAGTCTACTCCTCGGATCCGGAAACTATACCCTCCCATACAGTCCAACTCCGCGGGCCACCGCTCCTATCAGGACTGCGAGGGGGCAGAGTGTGACCCGCGCTCCTCGCTGCCTCCTTCCGCCAACAGGCCCTCACGCCTCTATTCCTCGGGCGACTTCCCTGCGGCAGTGGTCGGGACCCCTTGGATCGCGACCCGCGCGCCTCCCCTGACCCGGGACGGTCCCGCTGTCCCCCTAAATCAGCCCTCTCGCCCCACTAATACGCCCTCTCCCCGCCCCTTCTCCCTAAAGCCATTTCCAGCTGCTCTTCCTCCCAAGGCCAGCTCGCCCACCCAGGAAAGTGAGGTTCTCTCAAGACCGGAGGAGAAAGAGCGGATCCCACAGGGGGCGGCCCCCAAGGACCCCCGCAGGTACAACCCACGTCCCTCGGTTCCCCCTCCCCTCCCTTTTCTCACAGCCTACCATCCTGCAGCCTACGTCTTGGCAAGTCCCTCTCCGGCCACCGTAGGCGCCAGTTCCACTCCCTTATCCTTTCTTCTTCTCTTCCCCCTCGGCTTGAAGCCCCTCCCCCCTCCTTTACGTAGCGTACTGCGCAGGCGCCAACGCTGCGGGGCGCGTGGGCGGGGGATGAAGGCGGAGAAGCAGAAGTCATGGCAACCAGGTCCTTGACTTCAGCTTTCACCAGCTCTGTCGTCATGGTAACAAGGCTGTCCTGTGGGCTTGTTGGAGGATGGGGGAAAAAGACAATGAGGTCCTCGCGCTTTAGAACCTTGGGAGGAAAAGGCGGGAAAAAGGGTGCAGGTGGATGGGAGGATAACTGGAGTATGTGAGGAAGTAGGGAGGATTAGTGGAGGGGAGTGGGCAATTGAGAGGGAGCAGGGTAGGAATTGGAGTTGTAGTGAAGGAGGAATGACAGAGGCAGAAGATGAAGACAAAAGGTGATGGGGCAGAAACGAGGAAAGTGTAGATATCTACTGAGAACCAACAACACCCTCTTTTTTTATACTTTTAAAATCAAATTTATTGGAGTGACATTGGTTAATAAAATTATACAGTGTTCAGGTGTACAGTCCTACAATACATACATCATCTTTATACTGTATATTCATCTGTATATTGTGTGTTCATCGCCCCAAGTCAAGTATCCTTCCATCACCATTTATTCCCTCCACACCCTCTTCTACCTTCACCCACCTCCCTTTTCCTTTGGTAATCACCATACTGTTTGCATCTATGAGAATTTTTTAAAGATATTATTTATTTTTAGAGAGGGGAAGGTAGGGAGAAAGAAAGGGAGAGAAGCATCAATGTGTGGTTGCCTCTCTAGCACCTCTCATTGGGGATCTGGCCCAGGCATGTGTCCTGACTGGGAACCAAACCAGTGATCTTTTGGTTTGCAGGCTGGCCCTCAAGCCACTGAGCCACACGAGCCAGGGCTATTTTTGTTTTGTTTTGACTTAATCCCTTCACCTTTTTCACCCAGCTCTACAACACCCCTCCCCTCTGACAGCTAGTCAGTCTGTTCTCTATGAGTCTATTGCTATTTTGTTTGTCAGTTTATTTTGTTCATTAGATTTCACATATGACTGAAATCATATGGTACTTGTTCTTCTCTCACTGGCTTATTTCACCTAGTATAATGCTCTCTGGGTCCAACCATGCTATTGCCAAGGGTAAGATTTCCTTCCTTTTTTTTTAAAAGCCAAGTAGTATTCCATTGTGTATATGTGCCATAGCTTTTTTATCCACTCATCTACTGATGGACACTTAGGCTGCTTCAAAATCTTAGCTATTATGAATAACACTGCAATGAACATAAGGGTACATATATCTTAAATTTTAAGCCACTGTTTTGGGTTTCTTTGGATATATTCCCAGAAGTGGGGTCATAAGGCAATTTCCATTTCTAATTTTTTGAGGTAACTCCATACTACTTTGCACAGTGGATGCCCCAATATGCATTCCTACCAACAGTGTGTGAGAATTCTCTTTTCTCCACATCCTGACCAACATTTGTTGTTTGTTGATTTACTGATGGTAATCATTCTGATTAGTGTGAAATATCTCATTGTGGTTTTCATTTGCATTTCTCTGATGATTAGTGACATTGAGCATCTTTTCATATGTCTGTTGGCCTATATGTCTGTATATCCTTTTTGGAGAAGTGTCTGTTCATGTGCTTTGCCCATTTTTTAATTGGATTGTTTGTTTTTTTGGTATTGAGTTCTTTATAAATTTTGGATATGAACCCCTTATCAGATGTATTATTGGTGAATATGTTCTCCCATTCAGTGTGTTGTATTATCATTTTGCTCATCATTTCTTTGGCTGTGCAAAACTTTTTAGTTTGATATAGTCCAATTTGTTTCCTTTTTCTTTTGTTTCCCTTGCACAAGGATATATATCAGAAAAAATATTGCTATAAGAAATGTTTGAGATTTTACTGCCTATGTTTTCTTCTAGGATTTTTATGGTTTCAAGTCTAACATGTACGTTTTTAATCCATTTTGAGTTTATTCTTGTGTATGATGTAAGAAGGTGGTCTAGTTTCATTTTTTTGCACGTATCTATCCAATTTTCCCAACATCATTTATTGAATAGACTATTTTCATCCCATTAGGTTTTTGCCTCCTTTGTTAAGTATTAAATTGACCATAAAGGTGGGGGGTAATTTCTGGGCTGTCTGTTCTGTTTCATTGATCTATATGTGTTTTTATGCCAGTACCATGCTGTTTTGATTACTATGGCCTTGTAGGATAGTTTGGTATCAGGTAGCATGATTCTTCCAACTTCGTTCTTGTTTCTCAAGATTGCTATGGCTATTCTGGGTCTTTTGTGGTTTCATATAAATTTTTGGAATATTTGTTCTAGTTCTGTGAAATATGTCATTGGTATTTTGATGGGAATTGAATTTAACCTATAGATTACTACCTATAGGTTACCTATAGATTTACCTATAGGTTACCTATAGATTTAACCTATAGATTACTACCTATGGGTTACCTATAGTAACCTATAGATTACTTTGAGTAATATGGACATTTTAATGATGTTAATTTTTTCTATCCATGAACACAGTATATGCTTCCACTTATTTGTATCTTCAATTTCTTTCTTTAGTCTCTTATAATTTTCTGAGTATAGGTCTTTGCATTGCTTAAATTTATTTTTAGATATTTTATTTATTTATTTATTTATTTATTTATTTGTGGTGCAATTGTAAATGGGATTATTTTCTTAGTTTCCCTTTCTGATAGTTCATTACTGGTGTATAACAATGCAACTGATCTCTGGTTATTTATTTTGTATCCTGCTACTTAATTCATTTATCAGCTCTAGTAGTTTTTTTATGTAATCCTTAGGGTTCTTAATAGAGAGTATCATGTCATTGGCAAATAATGACAGTTTTACTTCTACCTTTCCAATCTGTATGCCTTTTATTTCTTCTTGTTCAATTGCTGTGGCTAGAACTTCCTGTACTGACAACACCCTATTAAAGTAATAGAAATGCGTAGGCAATGAGGGAGATCAGAATAAAAGAGAAAAAAAGGTGCTGATTAAAAGTGATTTAAGGAAAAGGGGGGAAACATGAAATAAGGTGAAAGGGGAGAAATAAAGAGAATCTTAAAGGATTAGCATGGGTCCGAACTAAAAAGGAACAGATATACCAGTAACCCAGATACAAGTGTAAAGATCAGGAGGATGCAAATTTTAATACAAGCTTTTTAGCTGAGGACGTGCATGTGTGAGTGTGTATGCCAATGTGTGTGTATCCATGTAGGAAGGTAAAGGGGTTTGTGTATAAGAGAAAATCTTAAATTTTGTCATGCTGAAAACTTAATGGCTATCTCTAGAAAATTGTTGGTAACTGATGGTGCTATAATTTTTTTAAAGATTTTATTTTTATCTTTAGAGGGGAAGGGAAGGAGAGAGGGAGAGAAACATCAATGTATGGCTGCCTCTTGTGCGTCCCCTGCTGGGAACTGGCCTGCAACCCAGGCATGTGCCCTTACTGGGAATCGAACCTCAATTATCTGGCTTGCAGGCCCGAGCTCAATCCACTGAGCTACACCAGCCAGGGTGCTATAATTTTTTTTAGTAGCACTCAGAGCAGTTGTTGGTAAGATCTGACCTGTCTCCACTTTATATTCTTCTTTTGTTACTTTTTGTAATGGAGATAATATTCTCTAGTTGCAAGGAGATGGGCTTAATTCACCTGGGATGCAGTCTGGTTTCTGACTCTTACTAGCCTCAAATGAATCATTTAACCCTCCATATCTTTGTTTTAAGTTTGAAGATAAGAGATCAGGATTGTTCTGAGGATGTATAGAAAGTATCTGGCACATTGTAAACACTTGATAATGGCAGCAATTATGATTATTTCCTTTTCCCAAATTCTACCTTCTACTTCTATTTCTTCTACCTTTCTTTTTCATTTTCCTTTCTCCTCTGCCTATACCTTAGGCTTGCCAGTGGTAAGGACAGTGGCTGAATTATCTTGGTGTTTTTTTAGGTGAAGAATAATATCAATAAAGCAAATTAGATTTAGAAATTTAGAAAGAGTAAATCAGAATGGAGTGAAAAGAAGGAATGGGAGTGTGTAAGAGGGTGGAAAACAAAACAAATGAAAAGAGATGTGTCCTCTCTCACTGGGGAGAGGAGAAGGACGTGTACAGAGGAGTAATGAGAAGTGAAATAAGTAAAGCAGACAGCAAGGCAACAGCCAGTGGAAGTTTGGAGGCTGTAGAGATGTAAACGCCTGCACTCCTCCGAAAGCGGACACTTTCTGGAATTCGTTGTCTCAGTGTGGTATTCCTACCTGCAGAAAAGATAAGATTCTTGAGAGAACTGTTAGAAATATAGATTTTGCTCATGTAGAATCATAGAGCTTACGTGGTTTAAACTATTTAGAAAACATTGGATTTGATTTATTTTCTTCTTCTTTTTTGTCTGCTTGTTGATTTTAGAGAGAGGGGAAAGGAGGGAGAGATGAGAGAATCATGGGTATGAGAGAGAAACATCAATCAGACTGAACCCCAAACCCAGGCACGTGCCCTGACCAGGAATTGAACCCATGACCTTTTGGCTATGGGACAATGCTCCAACCAACTGAGCCACACCAGCCAGGGCCAGATTGGATTTATTCATTGTTAGTGAACAATGAATGTGGAGAATCTGTGAGTTGGCACATCCAATACAGCCTGTGCCTGTGGATGAGTTCAGATTTCATGCAGCGCACAGTTGGGAGTTGTTATGGTTGTCTGAGCAAGTGAATAACTTGGTGAAAACAATTTTAAGAAAATTAATCTTAGAGTAATGTGGGGGACAACTTGAGAGGATAAGTGGAAGGCTGGAAGATCATCAAGGAAGCAGTTTGGGGAATCCAGGCACAAGGAAGAAGTACAGAGGGACAAATTGGAGAGATACCTGGAAGGGTCCAATCAGCTGAAGCTGATCACTCATCTAAGTGAAAGAGAAGAAAGAAGATGAAAGTAGTTGCATGTGTGAGTTGGTCTCGTTTTTCCAGCTGGATTGTAAGCTCCTCACTGGATGGCATCTTAT